TCCCATCAAAGTCCCCATTGCCATAGTAGAGAATGTGAACTAAGCCAGCCTTCTTCCCCTCTTGTCCTGCTGGGGCGCCTCCCCCTGACAGTCACTATGAATAGTTCTTCCAACTAGAAAAACGTTGTTGTGTGCCTGTCTTTTTAATGCACAGAAAATGGATCCTGCTTAATACGCCTTTCTTCCTTTTACCATGAACAAATCTTAGCTCATTATCAACTCGTAGCTCTGCCTCCTATGCGTATCCCACTGAGCTATCTCTCTGTCCCCTACTGTATTCTTTTTATTGACTGGATTATTGGCTATAATATAGGGAAGATCAATAATGCTATGATTATTTAATCGGATTTCATTGATGAACACTGAGGATGTTTCTAAATTTATTTTTTGGTGTATGGGCCACACCCAGCGATACTCAAGGTTTACTCCTGGCTCTGCACTCAGGAATTTCACTCAGGTTCTCGGGGGACCATATGGGGTGCTGGGGACGGAGTCTGGGTTGGTTGCATGCTGGGCAGGCAACCTGCTTGCTGTACTACCGCTCCAGCTTTGCCATCCAAATAATGCTGTTATAAATGTCCTTTTTCCTATCATGGAATTATTTCTAGGGGATGCGAAGAAGGGGGACCTCGTTTTTTATATTATTTGGCTTGATATTGTAGATTTGGGGGCAAACCTGGCGATGCTCGGTGGGTATCCGGGCTCTGTGCTTGGTGGCCCTGTGCAGGCCCAGCCCATGGAAAGCAGGTGCCTTGCTCCCTGTTCTCACTCACCAGCTCCTGCTTTTTAATTTTAAAGCCTGGCAGTGGTAGGTAACCCGACGTGGTGCTGGGGATGAGACCAGTGCTGACCGCATGCAAGGCAAGTATCTCGCTCTCTACCGTTTCTGACTGTACCCCCGCTCCCTGCCCATATTGTTTCCAAATAAAATGTTTTCCTGGGGCTGGAGCAATAGCACAGCGGGTAGGGTGTTTACCTTGCATGTGGCCGACCCGGGTTCGATTCTCAGTGTCCCATGTGGTCCCCTGAGCACCGCCAGGAATAACCCCAGTGCATCGCCGGGTGTGACCCAAGAAAGTGGGGAGAAAAAAAAAGGTTTTTGTTTTTTTTTTTTTTGTTCACTTCTCCTTCATAAGAGAAAACACCGGGGACGGGGAGATAGCGTGGCAGACAGAGGGTGGGCTTTTGCATGTGGGAGGCCCAAGTCTCATCCCTGTACTGATCCTCTGAGCACAGAACCAGGAGTAGTCCTGAACACCACCAGTTTTGCGCCCCCCCTCCCCCCTCCATTAGAAGCAAGATAAATGAAAACACTGATCCCAGATGGAGGAACTGTCACTCGATTTTGCTCACTTCTGAGTTCAGGTCAGAGGAGAGTTGTAGTTTACAGCTTTAGGATTAGAACTAGTCGGGGACATCGGTGCTGGGAAGTGGCCACTGGTGAAGGGACTGGTGTTGGAACAGTGGACTCCTGAAACTCAGTCATGAATAACTTTGGAATTCACAGCGACTCAATAAAAAGTTTATTTTAAGTAGGAACTATCGGAGCTGGGACGACAGGACAGAGGGTAGGGCGCTTGTGTAGCACACGGCTGCCCTGCTCAATGCCCGGCATCCCCAAAGCTCCCGCAAGTCCTGCTGGGTGTCGCCCCAAAACCAAAGGAATGGTTGCATCTGGGCATCTGGCCTTTAGCAGTGTGTGCTTACCTCATTTGAGATTCGATTCAGAAGCAGGAGATTGTGGCTTTTTCTATGTTTTTGTTTGTTTTGTTTTGGGGTGGCCACACCTGGTGATGCTCAGGGTTCACTCCTGGCTCTGTACTCGGGACTCACTCACTCCTGGCGGTGCTCAGGGGGACCCTACGGGATAGAACCTAGGTTGGCAAGTACCTGACCTGCCGTGTTAATCACTCCGGCCCTGGCTTTTTCTCTGTGTGGTTTTGGAAACACCAAGTGCCACTAGCAGGTGACTACCAGCTCAGAGTTTGTGGGTTTGCAGCCTCAATTAGAGGGTCGTGTCACTCATGGGCGCCACTCATGGGTCCCTCTGGAATCAGGACGCTGGGCCTTCCGGGTTGTCCGAGCACTGGCGTGAATGTGGCCTGGCGCCAGTGAGAATTATGTTGTCCCCCGGAGCAGCACCCCTGAAATTGATGGATAAATCTGCCTGGGATGTTTGTTCCCTCTTCGCGACAAAACGCCTTAGTTTTTTTTTTTCTTCCTTAAATTTTTATTAGTGAAACACCATGAGGTACAGTTGTAGACTTACAATTTTTGTGCTTGGGTTTCAGTTATGCCATGATTGAATACCCATCCCTCCACCAGTGCCCATTCTCCACCACCACTGATCCCTGTATCCCTCCCACCCCACATCTCCCCATCCCACCCTGCCTCTGTGGCAGGGCATTCCCTTTTGTTATCTCTCTCCTTTTGAGTGCTGTGGTTCGCAAAAGAGACATTGAGTGGCAATCACGTTCGAAGATGCCTTAGTTCTTTATGCGTTTCTTTTCCATGGAGCTAGTCAAACACAGTCAAGGTAACGGGTGGCAGTTGTGTGTGGTGGTCTTGCCAGGGGTGACGTCTGTGTGTCTGTGTGTGTGTGTTTGTGCGCACGCCTCTCTTGATTTTTGCAGCTGGCGTGATTTTCCGTGCAGAAGTATGTCATTTGTTTGCGTTCTTATGGGGCGTGCAGGCACTGCAAAACAAATTAAAACCCCACTCATGAGTCACTGTGTCTATCTCTAATGTGGGTTCTTTATTTTTACTGTTCCAGCCGGTTTTTGTTCTGCGAATTCTCCTTTTCTCCCTCCTTCTCCCCCGTCCCCCCTCCCACTGAGGCCAGTCAACACGGGAAATAGAATGCCCCGTGCAGCCATTTTCTTTTTCTAAATAGGATGGAAGGATGATTCCATGGAAGACTTTGTAGCATTTTATTTAATTGGTTTTGTGTTTGGTTTTTTTGGGGGCAGAAACCCGAACCTCGGTGCTGGTGGCATGGAGCACTGACTTGGGAGTCTCCCTCCTCCCCCTTCGCCTACTCCTCGTCTCTCTCTCACCACCTTGTCTCACAGCACTCTCTGGCTGGGGCTGGCTCCCATCAGCTGATGGGCCGGCGGTGGATTTTCCTTCGTCTTGTCCATCACGCCTGCCCTCCATCTTGAACTCTTCTGCACTGCTGTGAGAGGGGACCAGAGACATGAGATGGGGAGGGAGGAGGGGAAGAGGGACCCCATGTCTCCGAGGGCCGTTTCTGCCCTGCCACCATCCTCAGGGCCTCTGTGGTCATTGGTGAACTGCCCTTTCTGCATTCTGCTGTTGGCAGTGTTGCCAGATAAATCTTAAAAGGCTGCGTCTTGGAAACCAGCTCCCAGACCCTCTGTCAATAGTCCCTCTTGCCTTAAGGGAAACCCCTCCCGCCCCCCCCCCCCCCCCCCACACACACACACATACACACTTGCCAGCTGGCCACTCTGGCCTCCCCATCCTTCTTGGCTTCCTCCCTCCTTGCTTCAGCCACCCCCACCCCCATCCCCACCCCCACCTCGCCCTTCCCAGGCTGCAGCCTGTTGGCCTACTCTGTGCTCCTGGGGGCTCTGGCATGCCTCGGTCTCCAACAACCCCTTCCTGAAACCTCTTCTGCCCAGACATGCTTTCGCTGATGTTGTCTTGGCTGACTTGCTCATCTGACTCGTAATTCACTTAGAAAACTGGGTGAGAAGCATGCTGTTTGGGGCCTTTGAGGAACGGATAGCAGAGGGAAAACTGTGTCCTCCTCCCTCGCCCCCAAGGGAAGCCAGCCTGTGTCACCTGCATCCAGGCTGGTCTTGTTCCCCTCTGTGGGCGTGGACAGCCCTTCCACTCAAAACGTCTTGAAATTTGCCAGCACCTGGCACATGTTCCTGGCAGACAATAAGTGCCGAGAGCCGCTAGCGTGCTTTCTTTTGTTCCTAGAGGGTTCCCCAGGGCCATACTAGGATCGAACTCGGGGACTTGAGCACAGGTCAGACCCGTGCTTTGCCCCTGAGAGCCGTCTCCAAGCCCCTGCTAGTATGCTTTTATTAAGACTGCTGGAATTTTTTTTTTTTTTTTGCTTTTTTGGGTCACACCCTGCGATGCACAGGGGTTACTCCTGGCTCTGCACTCAGGAATCACTCTTGGGGTGCTCAGGGGACCATATGGGATGCTGGGAATCGAACCCGGGTCGGCCACATGCAAGGCAAACGCTTTACCCACTGTGCTATCTCTCCAGCCCCTGGCATTTTTTATTTATTTTATTTTATTTTATTTTATTTTTTTGCTTTTTGGGTCACACCTGGCGATGTACAGGAGTTACACCTGGCTCCGCACTCAGGAGTTACTCCTGGTGGTGCTCAGGGGACCATATGGGATGCTGGGAATCAAACCCGGGTTGACCGCGTTCAAGGCAAATGCCCTACCCGCTGTACTATCTCTCCAGCCCCAAGACTGCTGGAATTAAAAATTTTTTTTTTCATAAGGTTATTCACATTAATTGATTACATTCAATATTTCAACACCAATCTCACCACCGTTGCACCTTCCCATCACCATCATTTCGAATTTTCCCACCACCGTTCAAGCCTGTCTGCCAGGGGCAGGTGCTAGATAATTTATTTTCCATTGCTTACTATGAATATCATGAGAGGTTGTGCGGCCACAAGAGCGGCCGCATGCTTCTGGAATTCTCAAATTGTAAATGGTTGGGGTCCAGAGACATCTCTGTAGAGAACTAACCCATTTTGAGATTCATTTGGGAGTCTCTGGCTACTGCCAGCATTTCTTACATGGTGAATTTGGCCTGTTTTCCCGTCAAATTCTGGAATGTTCCCCCACGTAGCTTAGCCTTGAGTTGTGATGTTTAGAATTAAGGTAGACCTCTGAAAAAATATAAAGTCAGCTGAGTTACGAGGCTTATCGTGGATCTCTCATTTGGTCGGCACTGCAAATAATTAATCTTGATGCTTTTCTCCTCCGCCCTCTAGTCTGCACGAAGAAATCAGTGATTTTTATGAATATATGTCTCCGAGACCCGAGGAGGAGAAGATGCGGATGGAGGTGGTGAACCGGATCGAGAGTGTCATCAAGGAGCTCTGGCCCAGTGCTGACGTGAGTGCCCATGGGGTGGGGGGTGGGGCGTCTGGGGAGGGGTGTCTGCCCGTCCCGGCTACACATACGCAGGCTGAGAGTTAGGACTGCGCATATGCGGGCCAAGAGTTCGGGCAATCTGGGGCTTCCTAATTAATTAGTATTGAATCTGATGTCTTCGGACTGGATTTTGTTCATGGGTTTGCAGGACTGAATAGCAGCTTACAGGGTGAAGGAGACTTTGGAATCGTCAGCGTGATGAGGAGGGTGAAAACTGCCCTCACTGTGTTAATCTTAGGCCCTTGAATGTGATCCGAGCCTCACTGTGATTTTGCTTCAACCTGCCAGTATAAATATTATATGATTCTTCTTCCTAGCTGTCTGGAAGCGTCCAGGAGGAATTTCTGATGTCATCTGAAGTTCATTTACTTCAGTAAAGCCGTCTGTCTCTTATATTCCTTTCCTGAAACATTTTTCTTCTCTGACTGCTGGGGAACCAAAGCCTTTTAGTCAGACTTTCCTCCTTGCTGCTCCATTCTTGGCCCCCCCCCTTTTATTTTTTTAGGGCCCCTTTTGAAGATCTGTTTCAGTTTTGTTCTACATTCCAAAAAAGTAGTCCGTGGGGCTGGAGAGATAGCACAGCAGGTTGGGCATTTGCCTTGCACGTGGCCGACCTGGGTTCGATTACCAGCATCCCATATGGTCCCCTGAGCACCGCCAGGAGTAATTCCTGAGCGCAGAGCCAGGAGTAACCCCTGTGCATTGCTGGGTGTGACTCAAAAAAGCAAAAAAAAGAAAAATGTAATCTGTTAGAATTTATTCTTTTCATTTTGTTTTCTTTGAGCCATGCCTGGCAGTGCTCAGGGCCTACTCGTGACTCTGTGCTCAGGGATCACTCTTGGTGGGCTTGGGGGACCATTTGGAATGCCAGGGATCAAACCCAGGTCAGCCGCATGCAAGGCCAGCATCCTCTCCACTGTACTGTTTCTTCGACCCTCTTTCTTTGTTTGGGGCCACTCCCAGTAGTGCCCAGGGATCACTCGTGCCAGTGGTCAGGGAACCATATGCAGCGCCGGGATTCAAATTAGGGAGTTGCGGCTGCCATATGCTAGACAAGTGCCTTCACCATTGTACCATCTCTCTGGCCCGTCTATAACTTTGTTTGGTGTGTGTCTGGACCATACACAGAGGACGCTGAGGTGTGGAGGAAGCTGGCTTCCCTCGGGTACAGCTTGTCACCAACCCTCATCTCTTAGGCCCTACCAAGCCGTATAAAAGCTTTATATGGCTTTTCTTTAGATTCTCGGGCTGTAAAGGGGCAGTCAGGTAGATGTTTACTTTGAGTGTATGTCCATTTCACACAACAGAGATGCTTCCACTACGGTCATGTGGGTCTAGGGCAGAGAGCACGTTGGCTGGTTTTTCCCGGTACACCTTAGGGTCCTTTGGAGTCATGGAGGGGAGAGGGCACGGGCCCCAGGAGGCATTTGGGGGAGAGTCAGGGACATTCTCAGCTATGACTGTAGGTGGGAGCTCGGGGACTGGGGGTGGTTCCTCCTGAAGTGGCTGTGAACAGTCGCTGAGGATGTTGCCAAATTGATAGGACGGTTCATGACCACCCCTCATAGCAAAAAATAATTCTCCCCCTGCTTCACTCGTGCTGGTTGTAAAACCCTGATGGGATTGAATCCTCTCTCTGCCTTGAGTGGTGGGAATGTGACCCCACGTTTACGGATGAGGAGCAGCCGCTGTGGCCTGATTCCCAGGACCTGGTCACCCCAGGGGCTGCGTTTGCCCTTCTTTTCTCCCGTATTGCAGTGACTTGCATCCACGCACCTGCCTGAGTGTCCCACTGTGGCCCCGGGCTCGCGGTGGCTGACCGGCCCTTGACAGGTGTTCCGTGAGAAGATGCCAGCTAAGAGACGAAAAATTAAGGACTTGTAACGTCGTCCCTGAATTACAAAGGAATATTAATGATTTGAGCATTACTCTAGAAAGTTTTATATTTCAGTCTGTTTTCCATGTGGACCAACTAGGTTTAAACTATATTGCAAATATCTGCTTTGGAGAAAGGGCCTCCAATCTCAGCCCAGTCTTATTAAAAATTGCTCTTGTAGTACCAAAAAGTGCCAGTAGAGGGGGGCAAAAACCAGCATTTCTCCATGTCTTAATGCCCTGGTAAGCCTGAACAACTTTAAACCGTAATAACTTTTTTTTCTGTTTCAGGTCCAGATATTTGGAAGTTTTAAAACTGGCCTGTATTTGCCTACTAGGTTAGTACATTTCTGAGACTTTCAAGGAATTGTTTGTGTTTTTTTTTCCCTCTCTAGAATGTATTCATTTTGGTTGTTGAATTTATTAAGAGTGGAAGCCCAGATTCTGTTACCTGTATTTGAATCACCTGGGGATAATATACACATACTTTAGATTATCTTTCCAAACTGAGATCATCTTAAATGAGGGGCGCCCTTTGTTTTTGTTTGTTTGTTTATTTTAACTTTTTTATCGAATCACTGTGAGACAGACCATTACAAAGCTGTTCATGATTGGATTTCAGTCATACAGTATTCCAACACCCAACACCCATCTCTCCACCGGTGTACATTTCCCAGCATCAGTGTCCCTAGTTTCCCTCTCATCATCCCCCCTCCCATCCCCCAGCCTGCCCCTGTGGCAGATGCTTTTTTTTTCTCTCCCTTACCCCTCTCTTTCTCTTCCCCTTTTGGGCATTGTGGTTTGCAATGCAGACACTGAAAGGTTATCCAGAATACCCCTTTACCTACTTTTAACACTCAGTTCTTGTCTAGTGTGATCATTCCGAGCTGTTATTGTCATCATAATAATATTTTTGTCATAATAATTGTCACCCGCATGGTGCTGGGGATTCAGCTCTGTGGTGGGACCACACAGCGACGGATCAAACGCGGGACCCCTGGCTTCCCGTGGAGCTGTCTCTCTGGCCCCTGAGCTGCTGTATTCTTAACGAAGGAAAGATGTTTTAGCACGAAGCCTCTTTGGTTTTGTGGATCACAGGCTCAGGCCCCTGTCCCACTGCCGAGCACTGACCCCACCATGTTTTATTGAGAAACACCATGGTGGTCACGACACTTGAGCCCTCCCCAGTGACTTGCACAGTGACAACCTGCCAGCCGTCCACATTCCCCATGAATAAACTCAGGGGCACGGTGTCGGGCCGCGCCAGCCGCACTCACGGTTGAACCCATGTGCAGACATGCATGGCGTGTGGCCTACCGCCCAAGCCCCGGAATCCGAACCCCAGAATCTTCAAGTTTTAATTTTTTTAAAAAAATTTTTTCAAGGGGCTGGAGCGATAGCACAGAGGGTAGGGCATTTGCCTTGCACGCGGCGGACCCGGATTCGATTCCCAGCATTCCATATGGTCCCCCGAGCACTGCCAGGAGTAATTCCTGAGCGCAGAGCCAAGAGCATTGCCGGGTGTGACCCAAAAAGCAAAAGTCATCAATTAAAGTTGATGACTCCATAGTCAGAGGTTCGGATTTGATGAAGGTGTGAAAAATCACCCCAGTGAGAAAGGCCCCATCGGAATGCCCAGGAGCCGCAGGGACCATTCTCGTTTTTCCTTCCCGGGCTGGCTCAGCCTAGCAGGGGGACACGCGGGTGCGGGTAACTGCTCTCCCCTTCGAATACCAAGGCTAACGCGCCAACCTGTCCCCGGGCATCTGGCTCGCAACAGTGACTGAGTTCATTGGTCAATTCTCATTTGCATGGGAAAGTCTCAGGTCATGGGGGTAGCAGAAACCAGTAAGGCTTCAGGGTTTATTCTTCCAGTTCCAGCCAGTTTCCCGAAGCCTGTCTTCTGTAGGGGGCCCGGCCGACCAGGGGTGGGGGAAGGACCCAACACTCCTCCCCCGCCCCCCCCAAGGCTCTCCCTGGCACTGCTAGTTCACCGCACAGGTGGAGAAAGAGGTTTTATTTGTTTTGATTTGGTTGGGGGGAGGGGGCACACCCAGCAGTGCTCAGGGTTTTCTCCTGGCTCTGCACTCGGGACCATATGGGATGCTGGGGATCAAATCTGGGTCAGATTGGACCTGTGTGAGCTGTGTGCAAGGCACATGCCTGACCCGTTGTCCTATCTCTCTGACCCCCCTGAGAAAGAGGTTTTAATGGACCTATTGAATGTGAGTTCACACAAGTAGTTCCTGGCGGCTCCAGCTTTTTGCTTTCTGTTCTCTGTGTGCTCAGTGACATCGATCTGGTGGTGTTTGGGAAGTGGGAGAACCTGCCCCTCTGGACCCTGGAAGAAGCTCTCCGGAAGCATAAAGTCGCAGACGAGGATTCGGTGAAAGTCCTGGACAAAGCGACCGTAAGTGCTTCAGCGTCTCCTTGGTGGTTGGTTTGTTTTTGAGCCACATCCATCGGTGCTCAGGGGTCACTCCTGGCTCTCCCGATGGGGATCCGCGGACAATAAGGGATGTCCGGAATCATACCTGGGCCCGCCTCGGGCAAGGCCAGCACCTTAACTGCTGTTCTTTCTCTCCGGCCCCTCGCCATTTCATCTTAAAGTCTCTAGAGTTGCTTGGGCACGAAACTCACCAAGTTAAAGCTTACTTCCGGTGAGCACAGTTGGATTGTGAAGGAATGATTTATTTTTGTTTGCGAAACAGATGAACTTGTTCTGCTCCTACTTTATTTGGGGTGGGGGCAACACCTTGTGGTGCTTGAGCCAAATCTGGGGCTCCTGCAGCCAGAGCCTGTGCTCCGGCCCTGGGAACCATTTTCCTGCTCTGTGCATTTCTTTATAACAGAATAATACTAATTATTCTCATATCTAATACTGCGGAGATTTTTTTAAGCTATTCTCTTTTTTTTTTTCCTTTTTGGGTCACACCTGGCGATGCACAGGGGTTACTCCTGGTTCTGCACTCAGAAATTACCCCTGGTGTTGCTCAGGGGACCATATGGGATGCAGGGAATCGAACCCGGGTCAGCTGCATGTAAGGCAGACTCCCTACCCGCTGTACTATGGCTCCAGTCCCTAGCATCCATATTTTGACTTATACTTTCTTTAATCTCCTAAGTGTTTTATGTTGTATCCTTGAAAAAGTGCAGAGCACTGAAAATTTGTGAATCCGGTTATATGTTTGTGGTTTGGCCATGAAAATCCTGAATGAGCATCAGGGAAGGCAGCTCAGTTGGCTGGGGACACGCTGGGCTCCTCTGAGCCGTCTCCAAGAACCACCTTTGAGTACCCAGCCTGACCTCGAGCTGTTGGGATGCTCACTTGGCTCCCACCCCCAAGCGGGAGAGACAGAAATGCAACTTTCTATCCAAGTGCCTTGTAGAAGCAAATGTATCCTTCTGAAGTTCAGATTGTTGCAGGTTAGGTTTTCTTAGGGCAAAACAGTTTTACATTTTACTTAGGAAAAGCCGTTCATTTGGAAATCCAGTTCTTGGGACAGAGTTTGCTGGCCTGAACTTTTTTATTGTTTTGATTTGCTTTTGGGCCACAGGGTCTGACTCCTGACTGTGTGCAGGGATCACTTCCAGAGCAACTTCAGGAGTCACGGCGGGTCTCAGGAGTTGAGGCGGGTGCCTTTCCCTCTGAACTAGCTCTCTGTCCTCAGGGTCTGGATTTCTCTAATACAGAGTGCAAATAGTCTTTCTTTAAAAAAAAAAAATCTGTAATATCTTATAAAAATAATTCTTTTTTTTTTTTTTGCTTGTTTTGTTTTGGGGCCACATCCAGCAATGTTCAGGGCTTACTCCTTACTCTCTGCTCAGGAATTACTCCTGGTGGTCCATGGAGGACCCTTTGGGATGCCGGGGATCGAACCCAGGTTGGCTGCATGCAAGACAAATGCCCTACCTGCTCTACTGTCACTCCAGCCTGCATATATATATATATATATATATATATATATATATATATATATACACATATATATTCTTTTCTTTTCTTTTTTCCTCTTCAGGGGTTATTCCTGGCTCTGCACTCAGGAATTATTCCTGGTGGTACTTGGGGGACCATAGGGGATGTCAAGGATTGAACCTGGGTTGGCTGCGCTCAGGGCAAACTCTCTACCCACTGTACTATCTCTCCAGCCTCCATCCCCCCATTTTTTTTTATTTGAGGATAATTTACATTAATCTTGTCAGAGTGTTTTGATACCATCTGAAAACTGGTGAATGCTAACATTTTTGTGTTAGATGCACTTTGGTCTCTCGTACCTGCTATTTGTTATGTTTTATCGTGTGTTGAGTTGGAAATGGCTCACTGAAGTACATAACATTGAGGAAGCTTTGTTACCTGACTTCAAAGTTCTCATCTGGTTGAGATGACAGCAATTACCTCATGGGGTTCAGGCCGCATAGATGCCCCGGCTGTTCCCAATTTTGTCAGTTCATTTGGTCACAGTGTTTTCATTTTACGTCTCTTCTCTTCCTAGGTGCCCATTATTAAATTAACAGATTCTTTTACTGAAGTGAAAGTCGATATCAGCTTTAATGTACAGAATGGCGTGAGAGCGGCTGACCTCATCAAAGATTTTACCAAGGTCAGAGGCTTCAAGGGCTGTGTTAGCTACTAGGCGCCTGATTGGTTGGTTGGTTGGTTGGTTGGTTGGTTTGGGGAGGGGAACTCCCCAGCAGTGCTCGGCTCCGGGCAGTGAGGCACTGGGGATGTCCAGGGCCACCCTGGCAGTGCTCGGAGGGCCAGGCGGTGCCGGAGGTGGAACTTGGAGCCTCCTGTAGCACCGGCATCTGCCCGGCCCCTTGGTGCTCTGCGGCCCAGCCCTGGCGTTGTGTCCCGAGGCTCAGGAAACGGGTGCTGGCTTGTGTGCTACCCTGCTGTCCTGCGTACCCTGATTGGCAGACACTGCGCCACTGTGCCGTGGCTTTGCCTTCCTGGAATCTGCTTCTAATAACCAGTAGTGAATTTGCGATGTGGCTTCTAGGAATGAAAGGCTGAGTGTGCCTTTGGGGGATTCTCTACCTTAGGCCCCTCTGCTCCAGGGGAGGAGGGCTGTGGGGCTGACCCCAGCCGTCCGCAGCCTGCAGAGTGGGCACCCAGACCCTACTACGGGGCCAGGGATGGAGCCCAGTGCCTCTGCCGCTAGGACCACATCTCTCTGCTCCAGAAGAGTCGAGAGACAGAGATGGAGTGGGTGTGTGAGAAGCATTACCTATGTGAGTGAGAGTGTGTACGAGTGAGAGTGAGTTGTAGTGAGTGTGTGAGGAATTGACTATGTGTACGAGAGAGTGTGTTGGAGACTGAATGTGTGCATGTGTGTGTGTACGAAAGTGTGAGACTGAGAGTGTATATGCGAGTATGTGTGTGTGCGCTAGAGTGTGTGTGCGAGAGTATATGTGAGTGTGTGTGCGCGAGAGTATGTATGTGTGAGTGTGTGTGTGTACACGTATGTGTGTGTGCACGAGTGTGTATGTGTGCGAGTATGTGTGTGTGGGCATGCAAGTGTGTGTGTGTATATGTGTGTGTGTGAGAGTGTGTGTGTGGGGGTGACCTCCCGAACAGTGTTCAGGGGGGCAGGGACCAGTCCCTGTGCTCTTGGCCCGCTTGGCCTCGGTGAGCTCTGACCCAGTGGGAATCCCTTCCCAGGGATCGGCCTTGTCCATGTAAGACTCACATGTGCCTGAACTGTCTGCCAGGCCCTTCTGTGAATTTCTGTTTGTTCTGTTTGGGGCGACACCAAGGTAGTGCTCAGGGTTCACACCTAGTGGTGCTAGGAGACCATATGTGACGCCGGCATTCGAACCCAGTGCCTTTGTACTTGTCTCCTGGCAGTTTACCTTTATTTTTAGTTGAAAGAAAAAAAAAAAACGAACTTTTTTTCCCTTTTTTTTGGATTGTATTGAGTCACCGTGAGATAGTAGTTATAAGCTTTCATGTTTGGGTTACACTCACACAATGATCAAACACCCATCCCTCCACCAGTGCACATTCCCCACCACCAGTGTCCCCGGTATACCCCCTCCCCTTTTCCACCCTCCCCCCGCCCCCATGGCAGACAATATTCCCCATACTATCTCTCTACTTTTGGGCATTGTGGTTTGCAATACAGACCCTGAGAGGTCATCATGTTTGGTCCGTTACCTACTTTCGGCACACATCTCCCATCCTGACCGATTCCTCCAGCCATCTTTTTCTTAGTGATCCCTTCTCTATTCCAGCTGCCTTTCCTTTGCTCATGAGGCAGGCTACCAGCTATGGAGCAATCTTATCTGTCCCGTGTATCTACTGTCCTTAGGAGTCAGCCTCATGAACAAACCTTTTTTTAAAAAAAAAATTTTGAGGTCTCACCAGGCAGTGCTCAGGCTTCCTCCTGGCTCTGTGCTCAGGTCACTTCTGATGGGACTCAGGACTATATGCAGTGCCAGGGATCAAACCTGCTTCGGTCTTAACCCCTGTGCTAGCTCTCTGGCCCATGAGTGAAAAATAAGTCATTGTCTTCCGCGCCCCCCCCCCTCCCCCAAGCAAGGAGCTCCGGGAAAATCCAGGCCACTCTCTAGTGCTGGGTGGTGGCAAGGGGTTGGCCTCAGGGCCTCCCACCACCGGCTCTCTGTTGCTTTTGCACCACTCCTGGTATGCTTGGGAGACCAGATGATGCTGGGGACCCAGGAAGGTGCCAGGCGGGTCACTGCTTCTTCTGGGCCCTGCCCAACTTGGGCCCCTGGGGGGTAATTCTTAGAACCCACACTGTTGAGTGCTTAGAGACTTGAGGATGTGTCTTGCTGTTTCTCCCTTCTCTCTTTCCCTCCTCCCCCCTTCCTCCCTCCCTCCTTCCCTCCCTCCTTCCTTCTTTCCTTTTTTCTTTCTTTTCTTTCCCACTTCCTGGCTCTGCACTCAGGAATCACTCCTGGCAGTGCTCGGGCAACCATTTGGGATGCCAGAGATCAAACCTGGGTCAGCCACGTACAAGGCAAGCGCCCTACCTGCTGTCCTATTTTAAATATTAGATGTGAAGAGAGAAGTCTCAATTGTATACAGTTTACATTTTTTAGAGCTTCTCTTAAAATAGAAAACTAAGTATCTTGCCTCTCTCCACCTGTGAGGACCAGTTTATGCTTCTGTGAGTGCTTAGAGCAATGGTTGGGATATAGTAACTCATTGGAAATCAATGTGAATTTTTTTTCCAGAAATACCCTGTATTACCATATTTGGTTTTAGTATTGAAACAATTCCTGCTACAGAGAGACCTTAATGAAGTATTTACAGGTGGAATTGGCTCTTATAGTCTCTTTTTAATGGCAGTCAGTTTCCTTCAGGTAAGTCACAGTGCACTAATATTTATTGATTCATCGGTGTATTTCTGGGCGGTACTCTGGGATCACTCCTGGTGGGGCTTGGGGGACCACATAAGGTACCCAAAATTTAACCCAGGTCGGCTGCATGCAAGGCAGGCTCTGTTTCCCGCTGTAATATTTCTCTGGCCCAAAGTGCACTGCCGTTTGTTTTAAAAAATTGATTAGGAAAGTCACTCAGAAAGAAATACTAAATCGGGTTCTGATCAGAATGTTCCCCGATTCCATTTACTTTTTGGTAAGTCTGTTAATTAGCATCTTTAAAGTCTTACGTTTTGGTATTTCTGTGGCGGAGAGGCAGTGCCGTGGCGTGGTCGGAACAGGACTGCAGTGCCAGCACTCAGAACGCCTTCGAGGTGGCTCCCCAGGGAGTCAGAGACAGGCCAGGGCCAGCCGGATAAAGCCCCTGAGTGTCCTCGACGTGTGTTTATTGGACTTGCTGTATGGGGTCAGAAGGGCTTCTGACGGGGAGGGGAGGTCAGCCCTGCTGGCTGGTCCCCAGGGCAGCTGTCCATCTCAGCCCCACACCCAGACTTTGGTGATGTTTAGAATAGCAGCTCGGCCCGCTAATCCCTTACCTGTTGACTGTTTCATAAGCCAGAATGATAACTATTTGTTTGCAGAAGTCAGGATGTCATTTATTGTCTCTTCCTTGATAATTTGGGAAAAAAATCCAATATAAATTCTTCTTTTTTTGTCTTTTCTGTTTCTAGTTACATCCTAGGGAAGATGCTTGCATCCCCAACACAAACTATGGTGTTCTCTTAATAGAATTTTTTGAATTATATGGACGACACTTCAATTATTTAAAGACTGGCATCCGGATAAAGGATGGTGGTTCATATGTGGCCAAAGATGAAGTACAGAAAAATATGCTCGATGGCTACCGGCCGTCCATGCTTTATATTGAAGACCCTTTACAACCAGGTATTGCAATTAGGTAAATTTGTGGGCATTAAAGAAAGGACATTGTCGATCACCGTTTGTATACTTTAGGCTCTCTTTAAATGAAAAAATTACTTTCAGCTGCCACCATTCCTTTCTCATCCGAATATTTCAATAAGCAAACATCCTGGTAGAACGAGCCACGTCGGAAAACCCACTTTGCGAAGTTCCAAGGCAGAGGAGCATACATCTTTGCTGACAGGGTAGTTAGTTGTGTCTTCAGTATAGGGGCTAGTTTTGATTTTTCCTTGTTTCCTCATTGCCCAGGGGTCCAACCAGTTGTCAGCCAGGACTTTTAATAACGATGACTTTTAAGTCTTCACAGACAGGGAGCATAGTGAAATGCTCTGGATTCAAGAGCAGAAGACTCCATGGCAGACAGTTTATTTTCTTGCTCGATCACTCTTTTCTCTTTGATTTTGTATAGCCCCCTATTGCTTTTTCTCAGGTTTTTTTTTTTTTAATTTTTCTTTTTAAAGTGAGCAGAAAATTCCTTTTGTGTTTTCATGAAGTGATGCTTGCTTGCTTGTATCCTCATTTCTCTGGGCAATACATTTCTATAATTATAAAATATTTGGATTACGCATGATCACTTTTCAATGGAAATGCTCTTAGTTCCTGCTTTTAGTCCTGTGTTAGTTGTGAAAATGGGGAAAGGAACGGGGGAATTCAAAGTTGAAAGCGGTTGCCAGGAGCCCTTTTCCGGTCCGTTGAGCCGTCGTACAGATGGAGGGTTTAGTGTGTTTATCCGCCGAGGGGCTCTGCATCGAGCTTACTCTATGTAAAGGATCACAAAGATTTTTTTTTTTCCAGTCATATATTCCAAGCTTGTGTTCTACCATTGAGCTATACTGTGGCATCAAGATCCTCCTTTTTAGGATCATGTCATACAGAGTGGGAAATATTTTCATAGGTAATAGGAAAACCAAATAGTTCAATGGATTTTTTTTTTTAATAGGGGAGAGGATACACAGCGATGATGCTTCATGCTTGGGAGCCACTTCTGATGGCACCAGGGTTTGAACCCAGGCCCCCCAGCATGTGCAAAGCCTGCACCCTACCTGTTGAGCTTTCTTGTCTCACCTCCCAGTTACTTAGTTACTTCTGATTTAGCTCCATGTCACTTCCGCAGAGTGTAGACAGTTGCTTTTTTTGTTTGCGTGGCCATACGAGAGAGTCCGCACTGGGCAGCTTACCTGCTGTCATCACCCCCTTCCCTGTGCCGCCCAGGAGTTCAGAGTCGGGCTGGCCGCAGGGGTGGCCGACGGCCCCAAACCCCAGGGGGCCGGCTCCTGGAAGGACACCGCTTGCCCTGGCTCTTCCAGAAGGACATGCACGGGTTCGTGTTTGCCCGAAGCCGCCGTTGAGCTTCCCGTTTCAGTGCTGGGTTTCTTTCTCCAGGTAACGATGTCGGAAGGAGTTCCTACGGGGCTATGCAGGTGAAGCAGGCCTTTGATTACGCCTACGTTGTTCTGAGCCACGCGGTCTCGCCCATAGCAAAGTACTACCCCAACAACGAGACGGAGAGGTAAAAGTCGAGCTGGCATCAGGCCCCGTTGCTCCGCCGTCGGTTGTGACTTCTTCCAAGCAATGTGCCTTTATTATTTTTATTTTTTATTTTTTTTTGAACCCGCGCAGCATATTAGGTAGAATAATTCGAGTCACGGACGAAGTCGCCACGTACCGAGATTGGATATCCAAGCAGTGGGGCTTGCAGAACGGGCCCGAGCCCTCGTGCAACGGTAAGTGTGGGTCGCTGACCCCCCCCCCCACACCCCCACCCCTCAGCGGGCGTTTGAAGCTTTTCTGTTTTGTTTGTGTGTGTGTGTGTTTAATGGGGAAGAAACGTTTTTTTTTTTCCAATCTTTTGCCACTCTTTCAGGAAATGGTGTTACCTTGATAGTAGATACTCAGCAGTTAGATAAATGTAATAATAATATATCTGAAGAAAATGAAGCCCCTGGAAAATGTAGAAGTAAAACCTCGGAATCCCTTAGTAAACACTCTTCAAACTCTTCATCAGGTCCAGTCTCTTCCTCCTCTGCCACACAGTCCAGCTCTAGTGATGTCGTAAGTATGGAGCCGAGGCTTTCCTCGGCCCACACCCGGTGGGGGGGGGGGGGATGTAGGGGGGCGGGGGAAGGGGCTCACACATCCCCACCCAGCTCTGCTGCGTGTTCAGACGATAGCCCAGAGCTTCTAGCTGAGCCCCCAGCCCTGCCTTCGGGGCTCACATCTGTTGTATCTCCATGCGCGCACATCCAGGGTTTTTGAATGTTTAAATTGAAGATATCATTTCCATCACATAATTCACCTCTTCATTTATTTATTTATTTTTTTGGTGGGGTGGTGGTGGGGGTGTGTTTGGGGCCACACCTGGCCACACACAAGGGCTTACTCCTTGCTCTGTGCTCAGGGATCACTCCTGGCGAGGCTCGGGGGACCATGTTGGGTGCTGGGGATCAAACCTGGATCGCCCATGTACAAGGCAAGCGCCCTTACCTGCTGTACTGTTGTTCTGGCTCCTAAGTTGCCTTTTTTAAAAAAAAAATGTGGACAGTTTAAAAATGTGGACAGTGGTTTATTTTTCTGTTTTGCTTTGTTTGGGGCCACACCCAGTGATGTTCAGGGGTTACTCCTGGCAGTGCTTGGCGGGACCATATGGGATGCTGGCAGTGGAACCTGGGTCAGCCTCATTCAAGGCAAATGCCCTACCAACTTTGCTATCTCTCCAGCCCCACTCCAGAGGTTTTTTATTTACAATATCACACAACCATTGTCACTGGTTGCAGAAACTTTCAGTTGCCCTAAAAAGAAACCTGTTTGCAGTCCCTAACAGTTGCTCCTTCCCCTGGTCCTCTAATTTTTTTTTTTCCTTTTTGGGTCACACACCCAGTGATGCTCAGGGGTTACTCCTGGCTCAAGCACTTAGGAATTACTCCTGCGGTGCTTGGGGGACCATATGGGATGCTGGGGATCAAACCCGGGTCGGCCGCGTGCAAGGCAAAAACACCCTACCTGCTGTGCTGTCGCTCCAGCCCTCCGCTCCCATCTTGATTAAATCCTTAATATCAGTTATACTAGTTCTCACTTTGCTTATCCAAAACCCTTTCTGGTTTTATTTCATTGAGTTCTAACATAGGCATCCAAAAATTTAAAAGAAAAGAAAAAAGGGACTTGCCCATTATTTGAATTTAAACTGTATTAAATATACGGCATCAAGTGTAACCCAAATATGGACAAGACTTTCCGTTGTTGAGGTAATGTCATACGTTGCCCTCCCATACAGAGCAGCCTGTCTGCCTTTTGGCTTCCTGAACGGGCTGCTGGGAGCAGCGGCAGCCTTGGAGAAGGGCACGATAGGGGCGGAGTGTGAGGCCAGAGGGGGCCAGGCAGGAACAGAGTACTGGTCCCTGGCCCGCTGTTCCCGGAGGTCTGCATCCGCACAGCGTGCGTGTATCTGCAGAATTCAGAGGTGGACCCTCTGCCTATTTCTTTCTTTCTCTCTTTCTCTCTCTCTCTCTTTCTTTCTTTTTTTTTTTTTTTTTGGTTGTTGTTAGGGGTTGGGTGGAGGGGGCACACCTGTCAGTGCTCAGGGCTTACTCCTGAATCTACACTCAGGGCTCACTCCTGGTGGGGCTTGGTGGACTGTATATGTGGTGCTGGGGAATTGAATCCAGGTCGGCCAGAGGTCCAGAGATGGAGCCTCTGAAACCATCTCCTCCCCCCCCCCCCACCACAGACACCCCTTTTGTTTTGTATTTAGTGAAAGATCCAAAGTGGGGGGTTGAAGTCTCAGTTCCTTGCTCTTCATCATGCTCCCCGCACTGTGCCCTGGTTCCTTTTCTGTGAGTTAAAATGCAAGGAAACTTGGTCCTACTTGGTCCTCTGTGAGCTCCTCAAGGTGGATTGGCCACGTCAGGTGTTGACCACAGACTAACAGCTGGCCGAGCCGGCTGATGGAACAGGCCGCTGTAGTTGGGACCAAGCCTCAGCCAAGTTCCACAAATTCTTCAGCGTGCTTCCTGTATCTCTCACGTGCCTAGCATGAGTCCGGGGAGGCCTTAGGAGAGATTGTTTGTCCGGGTTGAGTGTCCGAATTCTGAATATGTCACACTGTGCCACATGTGACTTGTGTTAGGACTCGGACGCCACGCCATGCAAAACCCCGAAGCAGCTGCTCTGCCGGCCGGCCGCCGGGAACCGAGTGGGAGCCCAGGATGTGCCCTTGGAGTGTGCCCAGGCCGTGGGGAAAATTCAGAGCACCCAGACCACCAGTGCGGCAAACAGCACCAACAAGTCCCAGGTGTGTGGGGGGGAGGGGACGTGTGTGCTAGTCTTTATTCCAGTCGGATTTCCTAGGTGCAGATAATAGGGACGCATGTACATATTCCTTATATACACGCCCCAAGTACATCATGGGTGTGAAGAAAGCTCTGTTAAGTAAGAGACAGCAATACCCTGTTCTGTTCTAAGAATGACCAGAGCCTGTTCGTGATGGGATGTCCTAAGGATCTTTGTCAGACACCTTTGTAACATAAACCTCTAGGCATCAGTGATCAGTCCATAGAAAATGTCTCAGTCAACTTACAGGACTCAGCTTGGAAAGAAAAATCACATCAGGTTATAAAAAGGTTACAGGTGTCATTGACGTTAAGCTCACCTAAGTCTTTTTGCATACTTTGCTTAGCTGGGAATGACCCGTCCTTTATGTTTTAATGTTTAAGACCCCCGTGGCTGGACATTGCCATGATCGCGCAGGGGTCAGGCATGGTCAGTCAGTCAGCGTCATGTTTGCCTTTAAAAATAGCCAGAGAAGGGGATGGAGCTATAGCACAGCCGGTAGAGCATTTGCCTTGCACGCGACCAACCCGGGTTCGATTCCCAGCATCCCATATGGTTTCCCGAGCACCACCAGGAGTCATTCTTGAGCGCAGTGCCAGGAGTAACCCCTGTGCATCGCCGGGTGTGACCCAGAAAGCAAAACAAATACAAAAATTGCCAGAGAGATGCTCTCGTGCACGTTTTCTGGCTGCTTAAAAATTTATTAATCACAAGTAACGAATCAAAATGAGAAGAAGTCATTTTACACAAGGCTCCAGCCCCGGGCTCTTACAACCCTGAGTCATAACAGGCCCCCGCGCGTCCTCCCCTCCCCCCCCAGGAAGGCGTTCTTGGCTGCCCTCGCCGTTACTTCTATCCCCTGTGTCCGACGGGGCTTGGGGAATCACCTCGATTCCTGAGCCACGACGCATGCATCGCTCTGAGACTTGTTCCGACACAGCACTTAAAAGTGGCTGAGGCCGGCTGGGATGCGCCTCCTTCTGGCCTGGCCAGTGTAGCAGCGTAGCCCGTTGGTTGCTCGGCCCCTCAGGAGTGTCCGTCCCGTAGACAGTGTCTCCCGCCTGGGCGCTGTAAGTCAGCCTGTCCCCCCGAGCCCTGTCTTAGCGAGTGCTTCTGTTGCATGCGCGACACTGACGACTTTGTGACTGCTTTCCTTTTCTGCAGCACGGATCAGCAAGGCTCTTTCGTTCCTCCAGCAAAGGCTTCCAAGGTACAACTCAAACAAGCCATGGTTCCTTGATGGCAAACAAACAGCATCAAGGCAAATCCAATAATCAGTATTACCATGGCAAAAAGAGGAAACACAAGAGGGACGCGCCCCTCTCAGACCTCTGTAGATAGTCGGCGTCGTGCGATGGACTGTCAGCTGTGTGCAGTGACCTCATGCTCAGGACAGTTCGGATAGGGACTCCTGGGACACAAGTCAGGAGCCTGACACTGTTCAGACGTTGATTTAGCAACTGCGTTTTTTCCCAGCTCGCCACGGAATGGATCATGAAGACTGACAACTGCAAAAAAAAAACAAAAAACAAAAAACAAAAACAAAAAAAACAAAAAAAACACACACACACAAAAAGCAAGCAAAAAAGGGGGGGGAAAAAGGCTGCTCATTTGATAAGTCATATGCTACAACAGGGTCATTTTAAGATTTAAAGCTTGAATGTAAAATAAATATATTTCTCATTGGCTTTATGCAGAGTTATAGGGAATTCATATTCGTGTGGGTAGGGCACTCGTAGCAGAGCATTTCAGAGGATGGGGGTGGGGAAGGAAAACAGGTATCTTATAGGAAGTCCAGAGTTCCAAAGGGTAAAGTGATCGATCGGTGCATGTTTGTTTGTTTGTTTTTTTTAAAATATTTTTGCATATATTTACCATTTTATTGTGTGTATATATAGATGACCATATAGGAAATTGATATTTGTAATAGTGGATTTGTTAATACTTTTTACATAACATTACTGTTTAAATTGTAAACAGATTTTTCTCAGGATTAGTTTAAAAAAAAGAAAAGAAGTAATCTGAATTGTCATCTTTACATTCATCTATAGGGAAGTGATTAGTTCTATGACTCGATTTGTTTTTTCCTCAGCCTTGAAATGACTTAATAGAACCCTTGTGACCTGCTGCAAAAATTTTTCCTCTCTACAGAAAAAGGTTGATGGTGGCAAATGACCGTTTATTTTATTTTGTAACAAAGAAAAATGTACTATGTACTTTTGTGTAAACACTGAACAACCTCTAGTCATCTCTAAGGATTAACTTGCAACTGTTTCTCTAGTGATGTCTGTCTCCGGCCACGGGCAATTACATGACTTTGTGTTTGTTTCCTTTGCAGTCTTTTACCCCCCTCCCCCACCTTCCTACTAGGGAAAAAGGCCCCAGGTGTGGCCCCCGCCCCCGCCCCCGTCACAGTGAGACCTTGATCCCACGGACTGCATGCTAGCGCCTCTCGCCGCCCTCTGCTCTCGCCCTGTGCTCTCCGTGTGCTCCTTTTTTTCTCATCTCTTCTTTTTTAAAATTCATGCTTAACTACTGTGGGAGAGAATAACTGTAAACAGCTTTAATTAAATCATACTTATAAAAAAAAACCTATTTTCTTATACTCCACTTTATGCTTTTGGTATCGTTGATCTTTAAAAATTAAATGGTCTTTGATAATGGATCCATTTTGTATTGCCTTATTAAGACCAAATACTTCTTGTCATCCCATTCTTTCTCCTCTCCTTTCACGGAATTATCTTTAATTAAAACTTTTTAAACATTGGCTTGTTTCAATCATACTGTAAATTTTGGTTGTGGTCAGCTTTGAGTGCAAATGAGATGTATAATTCTGTTATTCATCACATGTTGAGTTTGAAACTCGTTGGGGATATTTAATATACTAGAATGTAAGTGATGTTTCTAAAACTGCTTTCTTTCGAGGTGAAAGCTCTTTTGTTTAGCATCAGTGTGTGTGTGGCTCTTAAATATAGCCATTTCTGAGATGAGATTCATATATCTATATCTATATATATATACAAATATATATATAGTACTATTGGCTTTTAGAAATTTCTTTTATATACATTTATGAAATACTGAAGACCAATCAAACCATTAATGGACACTTAGTGCAACTTTTTATAAAGAAAATAATGCTAAAGTAAGACCAAAACTGAAGTCATCACTGAAATCGACAATTTTCAATATGTTCGTATTTTAATTCACAGCAACAACGACAGAAATGTGTTCCGAAACTGGAAACTCTTAATACTTGTGTAAACCGTGAAAGATTTTAAATGTGATGTTATTTTGACAATGTTTTAAATTTTAGAGTCACATTTTATTCTGATCAGAATTTTTATCAAGAATGTTGAGCTTTTGTTTCTGTTTTTGTTTTTTGTTCTTTTGAAACTAGTTTGTCATAACATATTGTGCAAAAATCACAGTATTTATTTTCTAGGACTATTGTGAATGTGTAGACTTATGTTTACTGCTACGGGAACAATTATTTATAAAATAATATTAAATCCAGTATTAGCTGCCTATTTCAGACACTTAATACTCGCAGAGATCCATGTTACATTTACCACACTGAAGTTTTTCTGTTTCGTTTTGTTTTTTTTTTTAAAGAATCACCCTCATTGTTGAAAGTAAATGTACTCTTAGGGTGCGGATATTAGTGTTACAATAAGCATGTGATTATATTAAGGTGGTGGTAGCGGGAAGATGATCTTGATTCCATTGGGAATCTTAGGTTTTCGTAAATTTATTGGGAAAATAGTTTTTCCTGTACTGCTGAAGTTTCTTTTTGGTAAACAGTATCTTTCTAAAAGAAAAAAGCATGAAGGAGAAAACCGAGGTGTGTACCTTTCCTCAAATGACCAGCATTGTATTCGTGAATACTGTGTATCTTGCAATGGGCAGTGTGGAAGCTGTTCATTTTTCAACCTGAAGTAAAAGACTTTCAAGAACTTTTTAGTTTGCCTGCTCATTTGTTCTGCACATCTCATCTCTGTATTTGACTCCTGTTCTGTTTTTCCCTTTGTTGAGTTTTAAAACTTGCTGTACGGGTCTTGTGAATATTCTCCGAAATGCGTCGTTCAACTGTTAAGAGTCCATCCATGCCCGTGAACTCAGCCCTGCACCGAGATGACCTTTTCCTGGTAGTCGTGTAGGTGGACCTGGTCAGTGTCGAAGCTCCTTCCGCAGTCATGATAGATGCTTCAGGAGCGTCTTTTAGAGGGACTGCTGGGCTGAGGTGTCAGTGCAAAGCCCAGAAGTGTCTGCTTTGACTCCGAAGATGAAGGCAGGCCCTGCCTTCCTGTGGAGGGCGGCCGGCTTTCAATGTCTTGGTTTTGTTTGGAAAAAGGTGTTCGTGGTTTGCCCATCTGGGTTTGGTCTCTGGAGCTACTGTTTTTTTCCCTGGAGTGGGCCTCCATGCTTCCACCGTTGATTGCAATTTATTTTTGTCCCAGTTTGAATGCGTTTTACCTTGACTCGCAACTTGGGCCTCTCACTGTCCTTTAGGTTATTTGCTTTGGCTCCAGATAGTCTTTGGGGAAAAAAGTCTTCACAGAGCAGACCCCGGGGCGGTAGGGAGAACCTGCTTGAGCCTTCCCACTGCAGGCTGATAGTTCCCTGTGTTTTCTTCCCTCTCTCTCCCACAGTTAGTGGTAAGTGTGAGTTGTTAACCTATGAGCACTGTTGGGGCCTTTCCGGATTCAGGCGGGTCAGAAGCAAGAATGACACTGCCAGGGTCTCAGGGCCCTGTGGAAGTGGCACATGCATTGCAGACACCTCTCCAGGGAGGAGGAAGACAGGGTTGCCGTGTAGAGATCCCTAAGTGCCACATAACGGGTGTTGTTAATAAACTTTGCTGCTATTTTTACTGTTCCTGACTGCGACTCTTCAGATTTTTAATTTAACATGGATCTATGAAGTGGAGATGAATTCTTTCTTTTATGAGGATGCCACTGATTTTGTAGTGTTTGACTCAGCTAGCCAGGAATATGGGGGAAGACATTTGTTGATGACCACTAGGTTGTTTAAAGTTAAATGGTCAGCTAGGAAGAAGACTGGCCCCTTTTTGTTGTGATAAATCACAAAATGTGAAAATTGTTGATTGGAACAATATTCTTCTTCGTCAGTTCTTGCTCTTCTGGCTCATCAAATTGTTTCAAGTAGTGTAAAACAATATTTTTCTGAAGCGTTTTATGAACAGTGCATCCTATAAATGACTCTATTAAACGTAGTTACGTAGAAAAGCCCTGGCTAATAGATCCTCCTTATGTGCAGTCACTAGCGGAAGTATTGAGAAAAAGATTGAGCATTGAAGTGGGAACAAAACTAGGTCTTGGAACTGGTGTCTTCACTTGGTCTCAGCCTCCAAGTCTTGATCAAGGCTCTTGCTCCTCACCATTTTCTCAAAATACTCAGGTGCCAAAAGAATGTCTTAAGAAGAGCTGTCTACTACGTTGTTTAGCATTTAACATCATTTAGAGAAAAGCCAAGTTTTACCACAGAAGTTGATTCCAACAACTCAGGAGTTCTTTTCCTGACCATCCTCTTGTGAGCTAGTTTGACTTTACACCCTAAGCACCTTTTTTTTCCCATCCCACCCCACCCCCTAGCAATGGTAATGAGTTAAATATATATGGGACTTGAGTGTTGACAAAGTTATGAAACAGAAGGATTGTTCATAAGAGCTGCCGATCTATTTGATATCCAGAGTAAAGAAACAGCTAATGTGTGTTTTACTGTTAGGGCCAGCCCCCCTCCCCCACCCAACCAGTGTTTGGCCTTCATGTTTGCTGCTTAAGTATGTACCTTAGAGGGGCCGGAGAGATAGCACAGCGGTGTAGGGCGTTTGCCTTGCATATGGCCAATCTGGGTTCAATTCCCAGCATCCCATATGGTCTCCTGAGCACCGCCAGGAGTAACTCCTGAGTGCAGAGCCAGGAGTAACCCCTGTGCATCGCCAGGTGTGACCCAAAAAGCAAAAAAAAAAAAAAAAGGTATGTACCTTAGAAAGATTAATCTCGTCAAAAGAATACCAGCGAGAACACTAGGAAGAAGGGAACGGGAGCTATGCTAACAGTACATCAGGCCCTGGCAAAGTTAGCCAGATCAGTAGGGAACGAAGGTGTTCCTTGGCCAATGTTTACAGCTTCAGTTTCCCGTTTTAACTTAAGTCCTGGTGGCTCCGGCTCCCTCCAATCTTCTGACTACTTACAACCACAGCAGCAGTTTCTTCGTGGCCTGTTATGGGAAAGGTCCCGAATCAGGAAACCGTCTGGATGGAAAGTTCGGGAGTGTTGTTGTTTTAGCTGAAAGACGCTGTAGTAACAAGTGAGAGAGGATGAAATAAAGCCAACAGATGTTTCCTAGCGGGTGGGCGGGTGGGAGGAGAAAGTCCCCTCTCGCTCCAGTCCTGGTGTAGTGTATAGCTCTCTGGTCTCCTAGGAATTGACCGGCTATATCCGAGATAGTAAAATTATTGGAGGGTCAGCCACATTTTTTGAGCTTAAGTACTTCTTCACCTTTCAGTTAGGTTCTGTGCATTCACAGTTGATCCCTAAGTCATTATTACCTGAGTTTGTGGCGGTAAGTTCTCATATTTCGCTTTGTCCCTAGACTTGATCTTTGAATTTGAAGATTCCCCACTCTGATTCTTATATGTTGGATTTCCAGGAGTGATTTTTATTGGTGGGAGGTGGGATGGGAGGAATGTGTGTGTGTGTGTGGGGGGGGTGTCTTGTCTTTGGGAAGCTCTTTAATCAACCCTAAAATAATCCAAAGATTTGTTACAAATACCAGTTTTTACATACCTCACTACTGAAAAGCACCATCTATTCCACAGTGTTAAAAGTGAAAAGTTAGGGGCCGGAGGATCATAGAGCGGGTAGGGCTCTTGCCTTGCATACAGCCAACCTGGGTTCGATCCCCGGCACCCCACAGAGTCCCCAGAGCCTGCCAGGAGTAAATTCCTGAGTGCAGAAAGAAAAGTTGGCAGCCAGTGTGGTTTGTGGATAAAAACTGAAGGTCTATTGAGTTAAACACTTCTTTAGTGGGTTATACATAAGATAACATACATTAGAGAGTTTGATGAAGACAGTGTTTGTTTTTAATAACCTTTTTATTTATTTCCTTCTTTGATTAGCTTTGCCTTCTGTGTTAAGAAATGTGGACTCCTGTGAGGTGCTGGAGGCCTGAATCACCTTGAAAGCTTTCCAATCTTGTCTAGTTACTGCCGCAGAGTCACTAAGGAATTGAGCAGAAAAAGAGATTTGATACAAATGATTTATGAAATCTCAACATTTCCTGAGGTCCTATCACTGGGCGCCAGTTATGAAGCTTTTTTTTTCTTTTTCTTTTTTTTTAAGCTAACGAATTCTTCAAAGATGTCAATTGTTTGAAAATTTTATAAATTGCATTTCTACACACCTGTGACCCCCGTGCTTACCATTGGGGTTCTTCTTCATAATCCGCAACTCAATAAAGGCTTTGTGCTCTCATTTATCTTTAGAATCTCTGGTATGAGCCTTTATGTAAACCTTGAGTAGCTACTTTTGTAAATGTATGCTTAGCTGGTAATTCTTAAGAAAGCCCTGGTTAGAGCTGGAGAAATAGTGCTAAGGGTTAGGTACTTGCCTTGCATGCTACCAACTCTGGTTTAATCCCTGACACTGCCTAGGGTCCCCTGAGCATTGTCAAGGGTGGACCCCCCAAAAAGCAAAAGAAAATCCTATTTAGACTGGTGAGCGGTTTTCCTTTGTAGAGAGTGCTTTTCAGTGGGTTTTCATCCATTTGATGCCCGAGTTGGAAGGGAGATGTTTTGTTTTGCTTCTTCTGCTCAGTTTTTTGCCCAATATACCTGTGTATAACCTCCTTCCAGTCCTTGAAGACTGTGCCTGTGACTCCCGAGAATGTGGTTATTGGCAGATACCAGCCCAGCTTTGCCCTTCACCTTAAAGTAAAGGACCGCTCGCTGGACTGAGAGGTTCCTATGTCACCACAGGACAGCGACGGTGACGTTTATAGAGCAGGGGTTAAAGGAAATGTTGGCTCCTCCAAATTATAGAGTTGCAGGGCAAAATTTAAGGCAACTGATACATGTTTTTAGAAATCGGGTTCCCTGGCGGGGGTTACCAGGCAAAATTAGTTGTCCTTTCCCTGAAACCCTACTAAGTAGAGATGAAAAAAAGTCCTGGGTAGTTTCTTTCAAGATAACCACAGACTGATTTCAAGTGGCAAATGACTTGACATTCAGCCGACAGGTGGAACCCGATTGCCCACTCCAGCCTGCCTGCACATCGATAAATTCTCTCTGAAAAAATGAGCAAGTAATACATGCTTTGCGTGCAGGAGCCCCAAGTTCGACCCCCCAGCACTGCACGGTCCTGTGGGCACTTCTAGGTCGTTCCTGTGGGCACTTCTAGGTGTGGTGAGGAAACAAAAAACAGGCCCCCCAAAATGTAGTATTTTCATGTGGCACCCCCAGAATTTCTCAAATGGCCAACGTGAGCTGAGTGGACAGGACAGCATTGTCCCTCTACCTTTAAATAAGTAAAATGTGAAATAAGTAAGGGCTGGAGTGATAGCACAGTGGAGCAATAGTTGCATGCGGCTGACCCGGGTTCAGTCCCAACACTCTATATGGTTGCCCAACTACCACCAGGAGTAACCTGAGTATTGCTGTGTGTCCAAAAAACAAAAAATAAGAAGAATCTAGATTCCTGAGCTGGAAAGAAAGACATAGCCAGTGGAGTGCTTGCTTTGTACGCAGCTGACCCAGGTTTGGCCAGTGATCCCCAAGCCACTGCTAGGTGTGGCCCCCAAAAAAACAAAACCGAAAATCTAGTTTCCCTTCCCTCTCTAGCCAAGATGTTCCAGACTTATTTGGTCTGCTGCCTCCTCAAAAAAAAAAAAAATTGCTCAGGGGCCAGAGCTGTAGTATAGCAAGCAGGTGTTTGC